TTACCCTTTTAATTTTAAATTTTTTTGAATCTTTTTAAATTAAAATTTTAATTTTAAAAATCTTTTAATTTTATTTTTTATCACAATATGAGGTTATTGGGTTGTTCTTGCGTTCTCGTAAATCATAGGGGTTCTCGTTTGAACCCTTCCCTATATATATATATATATATATATATAGACTTGGGATCATGTGAAACTAAGAGTTTTTTGTGAGACCTGTAAGACCAATTTTCAATCTTTGGATTAAATCTACAATCTAACAATTTGAATATTCATAAACGTCATGAGACTTCTCAATAATCACAAAATTGTCACCGTACAACTTTAGACCATTAGATCATTAGCTTATAAAATTAATCAATGAACATAAATTGTTTTTACGGGTCTCACGAAAAACCTTTGGTCTTACGTGAACCCAACCCTATATATATATATATATATATATATATATATATATATACTTAATTTCATCTGTTCTTTATTGGGTCAGTGAAAAAAGAAGAACAATAAAAAACGAACGGAACGATACCTAAGAGTTTAAAACTATATATATATATATATATATATATATATATATATATAAGGGTCTAATCAAATGAGAACTGTTTTGTTTGCGGTAATTTTGAGATTTAATCTCAATCACAAATCAAAGGTTAAATTAGGGAATTAATAATTTTGATAATTTTAACTTAAAATATTAATTAAGGGCATTTTAAGGATTATATAATTGTTCTCTCTCATCTCTCTTCTTTCCTCTCTCCGGCGAACCTTATTCCGATGAACCTTATGTGAACACAAGATACACACTGTGATCCTTACAAACGATATTCATCGTGATACCCAGATATACATACAAGATGCACAATGTGATACCATTTGTAAAGCAATGAAAATAACAAAAATACACACTATAATATATTTCATATAACAAAGAAAATACATTTGTGATACACGTGAAATATTGTGAACGTTATCACTATGATAAACTTTAATTCACAAACGTCTTTAAAATACGATATATATTAGCTAATTGATATACTAGGTAACTAATTTTAATTAAAAAACTCCTTCTAAAAAATTTAATTAAATATTTTGATTAGTTGTCAAAAATAAAATTACTATATTACTCTTTTAGCTTATTTAAGAAATACCCTTAAATATCTCAAACGAGTGGTTCACATTGGATCTTACGGTTACCACAAACTAATCAGTTCTCCCTTGAGTGAGCCCCTATATATATATATATATATATATATATACTAGTTGTGTACTCACGCAATGCGGCGATAGCCATGAATTTTAACGATTTTGAAGTTCCACTAGTTTTATAAGATTATATTTAACGATGATATATGTTACACTTGGTCTTTACATATAAATACAATTTGAATAAATAAGAGTTATGGTTCCAATTACAGATTATCGATGAAAAAAATTGTATGACAGTTTAAAATCCAATATATTTAAAATCCAACATATTTAAACTACTTCACAAATGTGTTCGATTTACACCAAGAGCAAAGAACCAATAAACTTGAGTTTTAAGATATACACTCAAAACCAATAAAAAATACTACAAATTTGACAGATCATAAGCCATGAAAAGACCAAAAAAGATGGGKTTTAGAATGAAATTTCAACTGCTTACCCTATTTCTTATCCAGAAACTCGTATGAAGGTTGAATTAATACATGTATATATATATTTCAAAAAAACCCAAGAACATATTAATTCAGAACATATTATACAGTGCAATTTGGACAGTCTAACCCCAAAATATATAATATATATAAATAAATAATTATAAAAGTATAAATCATAAATATCAAAAATATTTTTCATAGTATATATAATATATAATAATATATTTAAGTCAAAAACTATTCAATATTGGACTCATTTCGAAGATATTAACAAGACGATTATAATGGTGTAACTTGTTAAAATAAAATTGTATCTTTTAAACATGTTTTATTTGATATACGATTATGTACTTTAATTTGATAAAAGTTTAAAATGAAACATTTAAAAGTAAAGGACGTAAAGTATATTAATTAACTAATTATAGGGGTATAAAGTGTAAATTTAAAATTATAATTTTAAAAAAATCTTGTGAGAGGGTGAGTGTATGTGAGAGAGGAGGGGGTGAAAAAGTGAAAAAGTAAAGGGTATATTGGTCATTTAATATTTTAAGACTTTTGCTAAATTTGTTTAATAAGATAATATAGATATATAGAGGTGGATTATTATACAACCTTTTACATTTGTACAACCAAAACAACCAAATCTCAACCGTCCGTTTAATTTGATGAATATGTAATCTTAGAAGTTTTGATTATTTTCTATTATAAAGTATTAATCATAATTAATGAACCGTATTCATATTCCATAAATATTTAAATCATAATAAATGAACTCTCATCATTTCCATAAATATTTCAGTTTATTGGGTGCATTGGTTGTACAAATGCGATAGATTGTATTTGAAACAAACTCTCTCTCTCTTTCTCTCTCTCTCTCTCTATCTATCTATATATATATATATATATATATATATATATATAGGTTGGTTATTATACAACTTTTGACATTTGTGCAACCAATACAACCCACTCTCAATCGTCCATTTCATTTGATTAATATGTGATTTCATAGAAGTTTTGATTGTTTTCTAATAAAGTGTTGATCATCATTAATGAACTATATTCATTTTCCATAAATATTCAAATCATAATAAATGAACTCTCAACATTTCCATAAATATCTCAATTTATTGGGTTGTATTGGTTGTACAAATGCGATGGATTGTATTTGAACCAAACACACACACACTCTCTCTCTCTCTCTCTCTCTATATATATATATATATATACTAGAAGGTACTCGTTCAATGCAACGAGATACATCTCAATTTTAATATTTTATTTTATTCTGTCTCTTTCGATGTTATAATAGGATTTTATGTGGTTACGAAAAAACGATAATGTTTTTTTTTTTTGAATAAAAATATATATTTGAAGGTATCATAAAATTTTGAAAAAAAAATATCGATTTCTATTTCAAACTAAATATTTAAAAGTTCTTGTTTTTTGTGTAATTTTTTTAATTCTTTTTTTATTATAACTTAATTTAGATTTAATAATGAAATCATTTATTTTTAATCTAATAATATTAGATTTAATAATGAAATCATTTATTTTTAATCTAATAATATAATTCTTTTATAAATATAATATTTAGTATTTTGAAATCAATGATTATTCTAAATATATTTTATACTTTTTATATTTAAAATAATATATTTATCTAGAATTTGATTATGTTTATTCATACTTAATTAAACAAATTCAAACATGAAGCTTTAATAGATTGTACATATGAACAATTACTTGTAATAATAAATTTTAAGTAATATGCATCAATAAACAGTATTTAATGCATGGTTTTTAAAAGTTTTTGTCAAACGCTTTATAATATATATATATAGTATAGATATATGAAAAATTATTTAGTTAATTTCAAATTCTTTATATATATATATATATATATATATATATATATAATAAAAGGGTACTCGCGTAATGCAGCGATATACATCTTCATTTTAATGTTTCGTTTTATTTTTTGTCTCTATTGATATAATACGTTTTATATGGTTTAAATAAAGATAATATTTTTACTTTTGAATAAAAATAAATTTGAAGATATCATAAAAACTTGAAAAAATATATCGATATTAATATCAAATTAACTATTTAAAAGTTCTCGTTTTTCTGTACAATTTCTTTAATTCAATTTTTTATTATAACTTAATTTAAGTCTAATAGCAAGGTAATTTATTTTTAGCTTAACAATATA